TCTCCGTCCTTGCTCACCGCGGGCTCTCTCTCCTCCCCTTATACTTGTTTGCTGACCTCTGGAACAGCCGGTCTCTCTGGCTGGCAGGACCGGGCTCACCCAGATGGATATCAAGAGCCAGAGTCCCACTGGGAAGGGAGGGACCAGACGCCAACAGGGAGACGAGGAGCAGGTGACACCTGTGTGGTTGGGACACTGTCCCGCCGACTGATACCCTGGGGCCCCGGCCCGCCCACTCCCCAACTTGCCCCGAGACCCTCTCCTCCTCTCTCAGCCGGGACTGGGCCCAGGGCACCCGCATTGCCTACTTGTGAATCATCCACGTGAATCACTGTGCACAGGTGAGCCGTACTCGGCATCAGCCACACATGACTGTCGACTCACGCAGGTGAGTCGCCCCGAGTGCACACCGCACCGGAGTCAGCCGAGCACAACTTTCCTGTCGCTTCCCCTGCGCGCCGCGGTCCCTACGCCCGGCCCTCTGTGTCCCCGGTTCGCCGCACGTCCGATCTCGGTCCCTCCCTTGGAATGGGGCGGATCAGGGGGCCAAAGCGGACTCAGGGCTCACGGCGTCGGGAGGTCCCCTGTGGCATCCGTTCCGCTCCGGGCCCGCCCGGGGCAGTCAGGGCGGCGGCATCTGGGTCACCCCGCCTGCTGGGAGAGCGATCCGCCTGGGAGGCCCGCAGCCGGCAGCGGCCCCGCGCGGCCAGAGCCGGTACTGCAGCGGCCCCGCCTCTGCGGCCCTTCCCCCGCAGCGGCCAGACACTGGCCGGTGCTGTGCCAGACGAAGGACGGGAAAGCGCTGGCAGCAGCCGCGGGGCCCCTTCTGCTCCCTCCCGGTGGGCGCCAGAGCCGCTGCGCACGTGCACGCAACTACCTACCGCCTCTGGGAGCCTGGACTTCCGTAGACGCACAGCTCATATAAGTAGCAGAGCAGGTCTTCGAGAAGAGCCCGGATAGCTCAGTCGGTAGAGCATCAGACTTTTAATCTGAGGGTCCAGGGTTCAAGTCCCTGTTCGGGCGTCTCCCTTTTTCTTTTTCTTCCCCCCCCCTACGAACCTACAGCTCTTTTTGAACACAACTGATCTCTGTATTCCTTTAAAACAAAACGAAGGAAAAAAAAGGGTAACGAAAATGCTGTGACATGACTTTAAAAATGAAATGAGAGTAACCCCGTCGGGATTTTACTTTTCAGAAAGTAGAACGAACGATAGATAGACAGTGGAGGGAAAGCAGACATGTTTTATGTGAATTTAAGTTTTCCAGTCAGCCACATTGGAAAGTAAAAAGAAGCAGGCGAAATTAATTTTAACAACACATTTTATTTAACCCAATGAAATCTTATCATTTTAACACGTACTCGATATTTTAAAATTGTTAATGAAATTTTAACGATGTTCTTTTCAGTACGTACTATGTCTTCTAACTACGGTGTGTATTTTTTCCTTCACAGCACGTCTCCATTCACAGTTCAGGTGCTCCGAGGCGGGGGTCCACCGCCTCCAGCAGGTATTTGTGTTTCCGTTTTCTGCGAATGGCAGACACGCAAAATGAGAATATCAGTAATATGTACCCTCTCAAAGAAGACCCATCGCGAGTGGGTTCCATGGTGTAATGGTTAGCACTCTGGACTCTGAATCCAGCGATCCGAGTTCAAATCTCGGTGGAACCTTAGGTTTTGTACCACCGGAGTGCTGTTATATTTATGAGCTTGGGGCAGGAGCCTCATTCGTCACCTGAGAAGGTCTGAAAAGCCAGCGAGGATGCTGTCCTTTGTTTTTAAAAACAGACCAGGTAGTTGGAGCCTCCAGCACACCATCAGAACATACAGCCGTCGCTTAAATGTATAGCAAGTTGCGCTAGCCTTGGGAGCTACTGGTATTTGAGGACACGTTTAGGCACAGATCAGCTGTGAGGCACTTCAGGTTGCTTCCGCAGGTCCCATCAGGTCGTGGCTGACACAACCCGAGGCGGTCTGGAATACCAGAGAGTGGAAGGCGGCGGTGGCTTGGCTGCAAGGAGTCCTCGTAAAAACAAGGGGGGCGTCCCACCGGGGCGGTGGCGGGCGGTCAGGACTTCTATATGGGGGTACACAGGCCACCAGAAAAACTCCATCTTGGCAGCGGTGGGATTCGAACCCACGCCTCCGAAGAGACTGGAGCCTAAATCCAGCGCCTTAGACCGCTCGGCCACGCTACCTGCGTGGAAGACAGTCCTCCCTGTAGTCCTCCTAAGAGACTAGAAGGAGACCCCGGGCTCGGGATGGTTGTGTTAGATCGGCCGGCCGGCCCTCTTGGGAGATCGCGGACCGAGAAGCAGTGGACGGCGAAACGGCCCGGCCGGAGGAAACAAGAGACACCAAGATGTTTTACAACGACACAAGTTTATTTTCCTGGATGGGGCCTCATCTGGGAGTGGGGTGCGTCTGGGCCGGGAGCATCCCCCAAGCGGGCAGCCGCAGCTCTGTGCTCGCTCACATTCGGTTGCTCTCTGTCCCCGTTTCTTCCACCCGTGCGCGTCCGCACTCCCACCTGGCTCACGTGCTTTTGTCCCGCTACTTCTCCCAGGCAGGCCTGCGAGGTCGCAACCGGGCGCTCCTGGCATGCCCCGCCCAGAGCCCTCACACCCCTCTCCCTC